CCGGAACGCGGCGGAACCGCGTTCCGGCACCTTTTTCCGGGCCGGCCGCACCGGAAATAGCCCCTCCCACACCGGAAATAGCCCCTCCCAAATTTTACTTGCATTCCTGTTCTCTAAAGGGGCGGTCCTAGGGTTTGATGAGGGCGTGGCCAGGTTTGAGTTCCGCCACCTTTTCTCCGAGAAAAAAAGCCCTGGTCTCATCTAATGATGATCTCAGCATATGGAAATTGCAACTCAGATTGTAATGTGATCCAGGAAGGAATAAATGTGATCCTGCAGGGGAAATTATTCTGTTAGTCAACATGAATGGATGAGTAGGAATATAAAAGATACATGAAAATTGAGTCAGCGACAAATTAGAATGAGTGCTTTGTTAGTATCTACTTAGAAAAACATCTCCTAGTTCTGAACCTATTGTTTAAACACACATCTGTTCATCTGTTCAAATGGCAAAAGAAGAAATTTAAATCTGAAATAATGATTTATTTGCTTATTTATAAGATTGAGAGAATCAGTTAAGGATACAAGAGTAATAAGGAAATTCTGAATGTTAGATAAAATACTTTTTGGGTAACGTCAACAGTGAATCTTGGGAAAATGGACATGGAAGAAAAGGAAAGAAGGAAATAAATAAGAGAAAACTATAAAACAACTGAAAGAAGCCATACAAGATTGGAAAACATGGAGAGAACTGGTCCGTAGAATTGCCAAGAATCAGAGCTGACTGAATAGACAGCATCATCATATATACTGAATTAATGTAAATCAGGCAACCCCTCTCAAAACTATTACAAAAAAAGCTGTTGACACTTGTGGTTTCCAAGTCTTTATAATGGAAAAGTAAAGAGGTTTGTGGTTTTAAATAATTTTAAAGTCTTAGCTTTACTTAGCTTTACTACTAGCTAAACTGCAAATAAGGTTTTTTTCCCCTTAGCTCACCTAATCAAGGTCTAAAGCCTTTAACAATAGGTGTGGCAGACATGCAGAACTATACATCTGATGTATAGAACTATATTGAACTGGAAACCTATCTTGGTACCCTGGTTGTTCAGCACACCCAGGAGGAAACAGTAGAAAGTACCTCACTCCCCACACAGAGAGCAGGAGCTTGATTGTCAGGATAGCTGCTTCTGTACCCACTACCACATCCTATCCCCAGTGCCAAACTGACAGGCCCCACTGGGCCTTGATATGCAACAAGACTGCAGCTGCCTGTTGGCTTGTCACGCCATGTTTTCTTCTTAAGGGGTGGGGGCAGGGGTAGAAGGGTTCTGTAGCTTCGGTCCAATGTTGGCATTCTGCTGTCCTGTGTCTGGTCATTTCTCTCTTGTTATGTTGGGTGAGGAGTGGACTGCATAAAATGACCTGGGGGGCTTTAAGTTTGAGGCTTCTGATGTAGCATGTTGCAAGAAATAAATGTATCTTAAAAGAAATAAAAATGGCTGTGTTGTAACTGCATGTTTTTCTGCCACGTTTGTTAAATGGAAATGAAAACTGGCTATATTGGAGGAAACCTAAAAGATGAATGTAATCAGAATGAGCTATTTTAAGAAGTGTGTATGGTAAAAATAGACAAGGTGGGGTCAAGGCAGAAATTCCTGTGCAGAAAGTGACAAACGGAATATTAAATAGCCATCAAATAAGTCTTATATTACCGTTCCTGGTATACTTACTTGCCAGCTTGGATGCCTTCCCATGTTGATGACAGCTTGATGAGTATACGATCTTTGCTAATTCCTATTTCTTTATAAAGATCTATGAAGTGTCTGGCTCTCTTAACCATGCCTTCTTTATCAAAAGACAACCTTTAAAATAAAAAAGATACATTTTTTTGTTTCATTATAATTTGTGTAAACTATACTCAAAAGGGCAAATATGCAAAGATACGGGATGCAACATTCATGCTTTTCTATTTTCTGCTTAAGAAGTCTATCATTAGACGAGAACACCATTAAAATTGGCAGCTTCGCATTATCTATCACCTGCCATTTCTACTACTTCTGCATTAATTGATTGTCTTAAACATTACACCCCATCAAATAAAATAGTTTGAATAACATTAAAGAAACACAAATACCGTTAAGAAAATTGATATTTTAAGAACAGGACAACAAGGCCTTTCTAAACAAGATCTTCAGCGGGAAGCCTTAAGAGAAACCATGAATGGTAAGCTAAACAAAAGATTCCAGTAGATAGATGCAAATAACAGGATGGCCATCTCTCTAATCCATGCAAGAGAGACTAACTGGCTTAACAGAACAAAAGAGGCTTTGGGCTACAGTGGTTGGAGCCACTTGGGTATGTGTTGTGTTGACCGCATCTGCCATCTGTTTTTGTTTTTCGGTATATTTTTATCTGAATTGTATATTTGTTGTTTTTATGCTGTGAGCCACTTATGAATCATACCTTCACTGATATCTTCACAGGGTCACATGGAATGTTATGAGAGCCAATTTAGTGTTGGAGTTACAAAGTTAGACTAGAAGTAGGGAGACCCATATTCAAGTCCATCTTCAGTCTCAGGGGTTCTTGATCAGATAGTCAGCTCAGCCTAGCTCACAGGTTGTTTTTCTTATGGGAAAAATAAGACGGGATGCATGCCGCTTTGATTTCCTGAAGTACGGTCTGGATATCAGTCAATCAATCAAACAAATATAATATAGGAGCCGTAGTGGTGCAGTGGTTAGAATGCAGTATTGCAGGCTAACTCACTGTGCACTGCCAGGAGTTCAATTCTGACTGGCTCAAAGTTCACTCAGCCTTCCATCCTTCTGAGGTCGGAAAAATGAGGACCCAGATAGTTGGGGGCCATATGCTGCCTCTGTAAGCCACTTAGAGAGGGCTGTTAAAGCACTATGAAGCGGTATATAAGTGTAATTGCTATTGCTATATTTGATGAATTCAGAAAATACTCACCTTGCATCTACTTCTGTGGACACACGGCCAGGTATCCTCTTCAGTATTTCTGCCCCAAACAGTACAAAAAGCTTATCACAAGCATTTGTAACTTGTTCATTTTCTGACCTGGAATTGTATAATAACCAAAGTAGAAGTTTATGTACTGAGGAAAAAATGTGCTAATGTGACATCTAAAAAAATAAATGAGTCAAACTGGAACAGTAATATGAATTCTTTGCACGATGTTCTGAACTTTAGAAACAGTTTAATGCAGTGGTTAAGATTCCAGACTAGAAAACAGGACATCATAAGTTCTAGTCCTGCCTTAAAGCACAAAGCCAGCTGGGGGACATTAAGCCAATCACCCTCTCAGCCCCAGGAAGGAGGCAATGAAAAACCACTTCTGAAATCTTACCTAGAAAACCATAGGGACTTGTCCAACCAGTTGCTATTAGTCATCACTAACTCAAAGGTGTGCACGTGTACATATACATACGTCCTGAGGTTTATCAACATTAATCTAAGTCTCTAACTCCTGGGTCAAACTTGACTGATGCTCTATTTAAACCTCTGACTCACTCTCTAGTGCTGCATTTGAGCCAACTATTCATTTCCTCCTTCTTCCATGAGAAAGAACTGGGAGTGGCTGGTAGTCTGCAGAAGGGCTTTGACTTCCTCTATTCTGCCATTATTTAATTTCTTGATCCCGGTTTAAGTCTGACAGTATCTTACGTGAAGTTGAAAGGCAACAGAGAGTGAGGACACATACTGATAATACCAACTAAGTGTCACAGCTGCAAAATTAGAACATTGGCAAGCTTACTCACCCACCAAGTTTCTTTCCATACGCAATAGCATCTTCTACCAGTTGCTGATAGGTTGGCATCTGAGCTGCAGCTAGTATCAGGGATGGGTTGGTAGTAGCATCTAGAGGCTTGTACTCTTCAATAGCTGAAGAAAAGCAGAAAACAAGAATAAAAAAAGTTGGGGGATGGGTGTTAGCCTCTCAGCTTGATAAGAATTTTTTAAGAGTATGCAATAAGATGGAGCAATGTAATTAATGTAGTTATTCAAGTGCCAGAAATTATGTCCGCATATAATATGATTGAGAGTTAATAATTAACAAAAGACAGATACTGTATAATTCTTAGTAAAATTAGTAGCTAGGTAGGATATATAATTCAGAGAATCATTCAAAGTCATATAGAAAGTTGATATTAGGAAGGCTGTTCTCCATAACATCTTTCTTGTTATGTCCTGTGTTGATTAACATAATGATTTTTACCATTCCACTGTGCAAACAAATTTCAATACACTGTACAGAGACAATCCACTAAATGAAATCAGTCTAAAAAGGGCAATATAACAACAATAAAAAGTAATAATCTGGAAAAACATGGTATATCCTTGGCACCAAAGTGAAAAGGCAAATTCAAGTTAGTGTCAGTAAGAACACTACAAATAAGACTTCCCTAATAAAAAGGCACTTTAGTAAAGTGAGCTCGTTTTCATAATTTGAAAATACGCATCAAACCCAGATCTACAATATTTGAATCTAACTCAGAGTGTGATAATTAAAACAATGAAAATATAGTTCAGGGGTAGGCAACCTTGGCTCTTTTATGACTCATGGACTTCAACTCCCAGAATTCGGCTCAGGAATTCTGGGAGTTGAAGTCGACGAGTCATAAAAGAGCCAAGATTGCCTACCCCTGACCTATACCAGTGGTGGCGAACCTATGGCACGGGTGCCAGAGGTGGCACTCAGAGCCCTCTCTGTGGGCACGCGCACCATCGCCCCAGTCCTAGGCCTTCAGATGGGTTTTATAAAACCTTTTTGCTTTAGGCAAAAAAAAAAGTTTCAATCAATCAGTCAATTTCAACTTCTCGTGGGGAAAAAAAAGATCTTGCAAAGTTGGAATTGATTGATTGAACTTTTTAGTCCCACCCAGTCTGCTGTTACCACCACAGCCACGCCCAGCCAATGGGCCACGCCCAGCCAATGGGCCACACCCACCCGGCACCCTACGATGCATAACTGGGTTTTGGGTTGCAGTTTGGGCACTTGGTCTCTAAAAGGTTCGCCATCACTGAGTATACAATAGAAGATATAGATAGAAGACTGCTCAAACTTCAGTCAAGACAATATTTAAGCTGTGAAAAAATGTAATATAACTAAGGGCATTTATATGAACTTGGAGCTCAAAATGTGGAGCTTTTATTTTGGAATAAATCCATAAAACTCAGATTTTACAGTGAATAGATTAGGTTCTGCTTTTTTACTTACATCACCAGTGTATCCTAAGAACCAATGTTCTATTAAAAGTCTATCCAAAGGTTCGGTTGCTGCAAATTTTAGAAACAAGTTTTAATTGTTCATATACAAGCAGCCACTTACCATAATTTTGAGACACCAAATTAACACTCTTTAATCTTTTTTTTTACTTTTAGTGTATTTTTTGTACAGTACAGAACCAGTATTCTTCAGAGCATAAAAAGCAACACAGCTTTCTTTCAAACCCCTAAATAGCAAGAGTCATGGAATAGAATTTAATTAAGATCAAAATGATACCCAGTTATGCAAACTGTTCTTTGTCAACTTCTTCATTTATGTAGATTTAGGAAGTATTATTTGCTCCATTCCCTCTTTCAACATTTCAGTGTAGATCATCTTCTGTTAGTAAGTCATCACTGGGACCAGAATTTCTGTTACTAAATGATGTGGTTATAAAGAACTATGTTACATGACCGCATCGCTTAATGATGGCAATTCTGACAGTCCCCGTTGCCGTCATTAAACAAGGACCTCCTTGCAACTTCCTGCTAGCTTCCCACAAGCAAAATCAGTGGGGCAGCTGGCAGAAAGTTGGCAGTTTGCAAGCAGGCCAGCAGGCATGTAAGTGGCTGCTGCTGGGTGGGGGAGAGCACATGCGTGTGAGTGAGGGGCTAGTGCAGTGTAACACAAGCACAGTGAGGCTTGGGTTGGCTGCTGCTGGATGCGGGAAAATTATCTGAGCAACCTGCAGTCTTCTCTGCCAGCTTTCCCATATATATATATATATATATATATATATATATATATATATATATATATATATATATATATATATGACGACAGGCAGTCCTTGAGTTACGGCAATTGAGCCCAAAATTTATGTTGCTAAGTAAAACATTGGTTAAGTGAGTTTTGCCTCATTTTATGAATTTTCTTGCCACAGTTGTTAAGTGAATCACTGCAGTTGTTAAGTTAGTAATATGGTTGCTAAGTGAACCTGGCCTCCCCATTGACTTTGTTGGTCAGAAGGTCACAAAAGCTGATCACATGACCTTGGGACACTTCTACGGTCATAAGTATGAGTCAGTTGACAAATGGTTGTAAGTGTGAAAAACGGTCATAGGTCATTTTTTTCAGTGACGTAACTTCACTAAACGAACTGTTGTAAGTCGAGGACTACCTGTATTGCCATCTCCACATTCGAAGGGTGACTCAAATAATTTACAGGAAAATCTACCAAAAGTAGAATTCCTGTCTATGTAGAACAATGCACATGCACTGTAATATAGAAACAACTGTTCTTGAACTGGCCTGTCTAAGTACATTCAATTTTTTTAAAATTCCAAATTGCTACATATACAGGCTAAAAAATTGTGCTTTTCAGGGTGAAATTCCCTGTAGGTGTTTTTGAACATACACATGCTGGCAATCATCTCCAATTACTTAAGGATATGCCATACCAAAGTTCTTTGCAAAGTTACACAAGTGGCATCACAGAAATACAATATAGCCCTACGATATTCTTAAATATATTGTGCAATATTTCTATAGAAAATTTACAAAGTATTTTTACAACAAATATTTAACACATATACAAATACACAGGGTAATTTCCTGCTCTGCAAGTTTTATTCGCAAATTAAAAAGGGTTTTTTCTTGTCAAAATCTGCTAACTCATAGCCCATCAGCAAGATTCCATCACCAGTTAAGCAACAGGAAGGAGAAATGTCTTTCATAAGACCATTTACAAAATAGTTAATATTTTGTGTTAGGTCAGATTCTCTGAGCAACTTTTACTCTGAGAAATGACTACTATCCATGTATATTATACATTGACCATCTAAACAACAGATCAAGATGTATTAAATTTCGCAAGCAGTACTATTTTCTGCAATTATATAGTCTACAGTAGTGGTAGAATACATAAGGGTTTATAAATAGATTAGTTTACTATACAAGCAGATTTTTAATAGAAAAGCATTTTTTCAGATATTATGATTCTCTTAAAAGTCCAACCATTACGTCCAAGAAGAATTAAGCTAGGATTTAAAGAGATCAATAGGCACGTCCTCTAGAAAAACATAAATATCAATTACTTGCAAAATTATGCAGACTAACTGGTAAGAGAGTTAAACTGAGAGTTTAAAAGATTATCTGAAATATTTTTAAAAAGTGTACAATGTTTTAATAATTGTCAAAACACTCCCCGGAAGTTGGACAGCAGATACATTTAATAAATTATCACTTATCCATACTGTGAGTTACTTCTGCTTTTGCATAAATAACATTTTATAAATGGCTTATATCACTCCATAATTGTAGAGGTGGGACGTTTTTAATGTCTGCTCCTTGTGGAAGGAATACTGAACACTGTGAAAAATGCTACAAGTTAATGAAATGTATACTTTTTTAAAGCCTTGCGTTTAGAATGAGTCAAGTTCCTTAATAATCCCTAGACTCAAATTGTGGGTAATGGCAACAAAATACAGCAATAGCATTAAGACTTGACCTACACATATTGTATTTCCCCACCGGTAGGCACAGAAGCTAGAGTGATTAATCCATATTGTTTTTCTTGGCAACAAAACAGAAGTGGAATGCCAAGTCCTTCTTCTGAGATTTTTGCCCCCTGCCCCAACATCCTAGGTTATTCTATAGCTATGAGATTTCCTGGTGGTCTCCTATTCAAGTATTAACTAGGTCAGACTTTTCAAGCTCCTTCATAAAAAGGGTCCCCCTAAATTGCCCATGAAAACAAAATCAGGATCCAATAAAACAGCACCCTTTTAAGGTCAACTAGAGAAAGTTTATGAACATCCCAACACTGCAGAGAGTTTGTAAATGTTTTGCTTCTACTGAGTGGCTCGACTTATTAGGCCTGCTTATGCGAAAACAAAGCAGTGCACCGGGCTACGACAAACACGACTTCCTCATCGGTTCCCTCCAACTAGCTTTCCTTTCCCGCGGAGAGGCGGAGGGAGATAAGAAGACGGGGGAGTTCAACAATGCCCGGAAGAAACCCTGGGAAAGAGCATTAAACCCAGCTGGATCGGACTTGGTAGGGAACCCCAAAGGTCAAAGGAGAGCTCCCCGTTCTACCTCTCTCTCCCGGATCCTGTTTGGAAGGGCTAAAAAGGGATCACCGGAACGATTCCCGCTCACCGTGGAAATCGCCCGTATCGGCCACCACGGTGGTGTGTTGCTTGAGCTGCTCTAGCGCCGACTCCATCTTCTGCTTTTTCACGGGGGAAACTGACATAGTCGCGAGCGGTTGCGAAGAAATAAGGAGGCGCGGCTGCGGCGGCTGAGCCTCGGACGAAAAATCAGGGGATCGGCACGCGGCTTCCGGGCTTGCGCCGCACGAAGCTGTGACAAGCGGCCTCGGGCTTTTCCGCCTTGGCTTCGGCGGAAGGCGGGGTGGGGGGGGGAGGCAGAGGCCGGCGCCTACGTCATCACAGGACTCGTTCCCGGGCTCTCGAGCCTTCTCTCTTCTTTCCATAGAGTGCCGGAGAGCGCTAAGGCTGCTCTGGGCAGTGGGCACAGGCGATTGGTGTAGCCTTTGGTTTTCCCGGCTCGGTAGCCAATCAGGATTGCTCTGGGTTGCAGGACGAGCAGGCGGTACCGTAGCCTTGCCTTACATGAGCTAGAACCGATCATTGAAAGGGCGGGAGAGGATGGGCGTTTAGTGTACCTCGTCCTTGCTTATGTTTGAGAAGTAGGGCGTTAGAAATTAGGCTGATTTGTTCCCCCCGCCTGCAATCTTGTCTTGGTCTCCTACATTTTACCTAATATGCTTTTTTTTGAGTCCCTGAAGGCTTAAAACGTAGGTAGGAATTGATTGAGTAAAATATTGAGTATTTGAAAGAAAGCTTCTGAGATCAGTTTGGGCTAGCTAGTGGCTGAGGCACCAGGCTAGAAACCAGAAGAGGATGAGTTTTAGTCCAGCCTTGGGCATGAAAGCCGGCTGGGTGAGTTTGGGCCGATCACTCACTCTCAGCCTACGTTGTCAGGTTCGGGAGATTGTCGTCAATACCTGTCGCAACTAAATGTATCAATATTAGGTTATGCCAGAGAAAACAGATTATGCATTTGGAGGAAACCCTAGGAAGAAACAAAGTTTCTGTTAAAAGTACTGGAGTAAGGTGTGCAAGAGACAGTCCCGCATGATTTAATTCATTTCATAACATGTGGATTATACAAATTGTTTTGTTGCAGGAGTCGGTCATTGGACCGAAGGTATGCTGGAGCCCATCCTCAAGAAACTTCCTTCCCTCCAGAATATGTGCACTGGGCTGTTCTAAACGGTGTATTGGGCAGTTTATAAGGTGCTGGTTGTGTGTAACTTTTAGTTGTTAATTAGGGTGTTGATGGCTGGCTGTTAAGTTGATGATTATTGTTTCCTTGTGCTGCCAAGTCCTCTGCTCCTAAACACCTGATAAGCTGGTGGTAAATCAGCACTCCTGTTGACTGACCAGGGGCCGGTTCCCAGGCTTCAATAATTTCTCTGGCTATTTTTGTCCCTGCTCAGCAACAATCATAGTAGCTGTGAAATTGAATGCATATCCTTTTTCATTGCAGTGTGAGGTTACCAATGAGTCCGGCAATCCTTGTTAATGGCTCATTCATGTTCTCGCAATAGCTTCCTCCCTATCTGTCCTATATAGTTACAGGGGCAATCCATGAAGGGAATCTGGTAAATTACATTAAGAACTTTCTCCCATCTCCAAGTTATCTTTGTAGTACACCAATCCAGCAGATTGCAAGAACACGAGTGAGCAGACAGATGAGGAAACCCGAACTCATCGGTAACTTCACACTGCAATGAACAAGGACAAAAATAGTTTTAATTTTTTGTCTAGACTACCTGAAAGGGCTGACATATATGAAGCAATTATCGTTGCTTTTGGTTTAATAATGGATAGTGTTTTAGCATTAGTTGTTTGATAGTTAAGTAACACAGTGTTTTAGAATGCTAGACCTTTAATATTCTACATGAAATATTTAATAATTACCCAGTAGTTTAGTAATCTAATTTGAAAAAGCATTTTAGTTAACTCTTGGAATTTTAATATTTCCATTTTTGTTTAGTCTTTGTTAACTAGCCCCTTTTTTTCCTTGCATATTCTAATTTTTATTGCATAATTGTACAAAATTCTCAGTGAACTACAGTATAGGAAAGGAATTTAGTTTGTTAAATTGAAAATAGAGTTGTGGGAAGTTAACCCAGAGAAGGAAATATTAAAAAGGCAGAAAGAAAGATATTGTTCACCAAAAGGATTTTTAAAAGCATTTTTTGAAAAGCAGAAACCAAACCTGGCCTCATCTCTGCCCAGGGCAGTAGCTAGTCTTATACAAATGCAGATGTGGAACCATCAGAAAGTTGAAGCCAGAGCCATCAAGAAGACAA